CTAATTTGGGAAATTTTAATATATTGTGTTTTAGACTTTATATTAGATGACACACAGGTACAACGAAATAATAAAAATTGTATACGTTGTTTCCTAATTGTGAATATAAATAAGAAGATGTGGTATGAGTTCCAATGAGACAACTCTCCATCCAAGTCACAATGTGTAAAAAGTAAACAATATTATAGGTCAAACTACGGCCTTCAACGCAGAGCCTTGGCTCACACCGAACAGCAAGCTATAAAGGGCCCCAAAATGACTAGTGTAAAACCATTCAAACAGGAAAACCAACGGCCTAATCTATATATATATATATAAAAAAAAACAAGAAACGAGAATTGAGTATGAATGTAAAGCATGAAATATTTTAGTGAGAAATTATCTTTTTGTTTATTTACAGTTCGATTAAAAAAATCAAAATCTGAGTTACAACAAAATTGTATTCCATGGCCAATTTTATTCCAGCTCCTTAAACATCAAATACTTTTAAATCAAAATTTAAAATGTTCAAATAAAACGCTTTTTCATGATATGAAATTCAAAAGTTAATTTAATTTCCTGTTTTAATTGTATCGATAAATTGAATGAATGAACTTTATTCTCACAAAACTACATGTCATAGTTACAGAGAAAATATAGCAATATGTTGAGATAATTCTCAAATTTCAAATTAGTCTTAAAAATTCTATAACATAGGCATTTAGGTAAGCTATCTATATGTGACAAACATAATTGTGTGAACTGATCTTTAAGTTTTTGTTCCACACTTTTTGATACCCATTTGTCAGCAAACTGCATATTCCAAATATTAGACATTCCACAATTATCTAAAACATTTTTTATATAAATCAACCATTTACTTGCAAAACCATAGTTATTTAGATTTATAAGTAATAAATTTTACACTCTTTCCCGTTTATAATTCTGCCCCAAAAATTTATCATACGAACTTTTGCATAAAGAAGTATTGGGAATCTGCCTAGTTCAGCATAAACTATACAGTCTGGGGTTGATTGCTTTAAATGTAAAATGAGTTTGCAAAATTTTAGGTGCACCCGCTCTAATAAGTCAAAGTTTTCAAAACCCCAAATCTCTGACCCATATAACAAAATAGGTACAACAGCCTTATCAAAGAGATCTAGTTGACATTCAATAGATAAATTATTAATTCTACTCTTCTTCAAGATAGAATACATAGCCTTTATTCCTTGGTCTCTTCAATATTTTCTAGTTTGTAAAAATGAACCACTTTTTGAAAAAAATATTCCTAAATATTTATAATTTTTAAATAAATTGGAAATGACGATTCTTACTAAATGCGGATACAGTTATCGAGTTTTGGTTAGCGTATTTTCTAAAGATGTAGGTTATATTTTTTTCTGACTTTTATTCTTTTTTTAAATACTTATTTTTTGTAATTTTGAAGTTCTCAATATTCACATTACATTAACGGTACCAATTATATTGCACCAGTAAACTTGTTTTGATTTTTTTGTTTGTTTCAAAATTCCACTTTCAATCAATTATATAAGTTCCTGTTGTATTGATAACTGCATTGAAGTATTCAATTCTATTTCCACGATAAGTGTAAGAACGTGATTTTCATTCATTCTTCACAATTAGGGAACATAAATTCTGTATGTGCCTGTCCCAAGTCAGGAGCCTGTAATTCAGTGGTTGCCTGTTGTTGCTGTGTAACATATTTGTTTTTCGTTCATTATTTTGTACATAAATCATGCCGTTAGTTTTCTTGTTTTCGTTTGTCATTTCGGCGCCTTTTATTGCTGACTATGCGGTATGGGCTTTGCTCATTGTTGAAGGTCGTATGGTGACCTATAGTTGTTAATTTCTGTGTCATTTGGTCTCTTGTGGATAGTTGTCTCATTGGCAATCATACCACATCTTCTTTTTATATACGCAAATACTACACTGGTTTCATTGTTCGAGAGAACCGTAGTTTGTTATAATTCTTCTACACTTCAATATAATATTGCAGGATAAAAACAATGTACTTATAATGTCGGGAAAAATATAACATTTATTTGTATTGGTTTTGATTTTTCTGTTTCTAAGGCTCGTACAAAGCATTTTGATAATTTCAGTATATAATATGCTATTTCCCCCAGCCAAAACAAAGGGTAATATCAATTTACAAATCTGCAAACAGTTAATCGAAAAGTCTTACGAATCTACCAACTGATAGAAAATACACTAAATACTAGAACATAAGATTTGTCCGTTATTGTTTCGATAATAACGAATATTATCTACCGAGAATATTTACTGAGACTTGAAAACTACAAACACAAATAGTAAACAATTTATCCGTAATACTATTGTTCCACCAACACTAACCCGACAATGTATGTTTATTTATTTTCCATTTATATTTCAGATAATTTCTCTTTATTATCTAAACAAGTACTGAAGCGAAAACATCTCGATTAAAGGAGAATTAAAGTTCTTAATGGTTTTAGATTTAAGTCTCAGTGGATCTATTTTACTTATCATTCAATTCATTTGAATAGATTGCCACTAGGCTGTTTGCTCACCTGGTTTAAAGGAACACACTAGTGCATCATTTCATGGCTGTACAAACCCACTTAACGCTACTAGATTAAGCAGTTATGTTAAGTAGATCACTAAATATAAAAATAAGGATATGTGAAGCTTTCATACAACTAGCATAACACGGAACAAATGTTACATAAGGGGACAACCATTTGATATGCTCGGGTGGGTAAAAGAGGATTTTTTTCTGACGGAATATTCATTTTGATCTTTAGCAAGTCTAGCTTATTTTTTTTATTTTTTGGGCGCCGCGCGGAATTTATTTTCCCTTTTGTACACATTTATTTCCTGCATTTTGTTGGGGAAAATATTCACCTTTACTCTCTTTTGGGCAAGGTTATTTTTCTGTTCTTACCATGCCATGATGTTCATTTCCAAAATCCACCTACCCCTCCCCAGAATGTCTAATGGTCTTCCCCTAAGTATGACAATTCTTTCTTTAGATAGGACGAGCGCGATTTGTATTTCTTTTTACAGAAAGTCACACCAGTGCAGTGATTATTATTGTACACCTGTATACACCACTGTATGCTAAAATAGATGATATACATTTCAAATCTCTTTGAATATTTCTTATAAATATGACTTTAAAAATCGTTATGTGTCCAACAGCCTTGAGGAATAGTTTGGTTGGTCGATGTACAACACGAAACTACATGTACAAACAGGCTTAACCTGTACCAAAAATATTACAGATCATCGGCAATCATAGTTCTGATCTATCAATACGAAATTACAGAGTAATTATATATTTCTGACCTATCAATACTGAATTTCAGAAAACAGATTTGGTATAAATGTGTTAACTATGTAATTATAAATTGCACATTCATTTTCCTAAGCTGTATTTGGCAAAATTTTTATGAATTTTGTGTCCTCAATGCTTTTGAACTTCGTACTATATTTGGTCTTTTTAATTTTTTTTTGATTCAAGCCACACTGATGAGTCTTTTGTAGACGAAACGCGCCTCTGGCGTACAAAATTTCAATCCTGGTATCTATGAAGAGTTCATTTGACACTATTTGTTCATCACTCTAGTAATATATTTCGTGTAGATGTACCAGGGGCGGATCCAGCCATTTATAAAAGGGGGTTCCTAACCCAGGATAAGGGGGGGTTGTTTCCAACTGTATGTCCCATTTCAAATGTATTGATCGTAAAAAAAAAAATGGGGGTTCCAACCCCCGGACCCCCCCCCCCCCCCCCCTGGATACGCCACTGTGTACGGAAACTGAAATAATGATGCATTAACTTCAAGAAATCATTCTTTTTCTCTATTATATTCCAGAGCTTGAATTTCCTATCATAATTCCCTGATAAAGCGTTCTTTCTTACATGAAAGTTATTAAACCAAGGGTTCAAAGTGGTAAAAATGAAGCCATCCTTTAGAAAATTTTACAGACGCTATCACGAGTTGATTGGCCGTTATCGAATATCTAGTTCACAGAATAATGATGACGACGGATATGTTCCAGTTATCATCACCATAATCTTGTCCTCAATTTTTCGTGTGTGACATCACCGAGTTAGACTTATCACAGAGTTTGTACTTACATGTACAACAAGACGGGTGCCACATTTGGAGCAGGATTTGCTTACCCTTCCGGAGCACCTGATATTACTCATAGTTTTGTTTAAAAAGGATTCGTGTTGCTCTTGCTTTAGTTTTAAGTGTTGTTCTTAGTGCATTTAATTTTTCAGTGTATCGTTTATACCGATAACAGTCGTTGTCAGAGTTAAAGACTTAAGTAGTCCTTCTCTGACAAAATATCGTGATGTCATAGTTTACTTAAACTAACAAACAATTTTGCAGAAATGAAACTTTTGGTGAAAGTGGAGTACATTTAGGTCATTTTGAGCCAATATTTAATTGTTATTATTTTTATCAACAATTGAGGATTAACATGATTAATGCGCTCCAAAGTAATATACTTATTTAAATTTTCCAGAAAACCAGGGGTTATTTTTAGTAGTAACTGACTTCACTACAAGACTTTAAACATTTGGTTGAAAATTGACATATAGAAAGGTGATACATGTGGAAATTAGGATACACCAGGTTTCTTTGAAGTTAGACTTATTAAGGTAAAATATTTAAAAAGTTGTGAAAATTCAAAATTCGGTTGATTATATAGGGGTTTTGAATTGGTGATCTGACATTTTAAGCACGCGACACCCCTTACTTCTAATTCTCTTGTTGATTACCTGCCTTTGAACATGTTGGAATGAGAGATACATTATAATTTCTTTTAACGGGTGTTCCCGTTGACCGGTCACACTCTTTTGAACACGAGGTCAATAATTGGTACTCTGTACATTGAATTCCAGACCGTCCTAGTTTGTGTACATATAAATCTTTAATTGTGACGTGACTTTATATGTAAAGAAAATATAAATATGATATTGACTCTCACAGAAAGAAGTTACATTGTTTGCAAAGAAAAACAATTTAGTTTAATACATAATAGATTCGTTTAAATAGAACGATTAAATCCAAGTTTTTAGAAATAAGTATGAATAGTCACGATAAAAATATGTATTTAAAGTGAAGCGAGACACAAAGAGTACGTGGTTAATTTAAATGGAACGTTTCTCCGATAGAAAAGTGACTTTATTCTATGATTTTATAGGAATTGGATTGAAGTAGATCTGAAACATGGTGAAGTCCAATATTAACAGCAATATATGGAACTTTCTTTGTTTGCTGCTTTTATTTACGATACTGTCAGTCTTATTAACTGTAGAATCACCAAAAGGTAGGTGAATATGATCATCGTATTATCTGTAGAACCGTCATAAGGTAGGTGAATATGATCGTCGTATTATCTGTAGAACCGTCATAAGGTAGGTGAATATGATCATCGTATTATCTGTAGAACCGTCATAAGGTAGGTGAATATGATCATCGTATTATCTGTAGAACCGTCATCAGGTAGGTGAATATGATCATCGTATTATCTGTAGAACCGTCATAAGGTAGGTGAATATGATCGTCGTATTATCTGTAGAACCGTCATAAGGTAGGTGAATATGATCGTCGTATTATCTGTAGAACCGTCATAAGGTAGGTGAATATGATCGTCGTATTATCTGTAAAACCGTCATAAGGTAGGTGAATATGATCGTCGTATTATCAGTGGTTTGGGACAGTTTTATTGTTTGTATTTCATGCCAAAACCATTTAAGGTAAAATATGGTCTATGAACTCGACAATTTTCGCCTGAGGATTTTATCAAAAATAAAAAAAGTTTCCCAATAGTGAGTAAGTTTCTATAAAAATATCTATTTCATAATCCAAGGTATATTTAATTGTCATTTATGATCATAACAGCCATTCAATTGTCCACACAGTGCGATTCGCTTTATTTAAAAGTATATATGATACATTGTATAGAATTGTAAATAGAACAACTGACCAGTGGCTATCATGGATAATTCACTCCTTATTTACCTTGTTGATAAATCTTTAATATTTCAGACCAGATGGATAACTTTTAATTACTAACTTACTTATAATAAATTAAAATTAAGAAGATAATTGGATGAGTTTGAATACTATATAGAAAAAGATAAATCCGGAAATAAACAACGTTATTCAAACACCACATTCTAATAATAAATGTCTTTCGTTTTCAGGATTGTTGTTAATTTTTTCGTCTATTTCCTTAAGCTATCTGGTTTTAATTTCCCCATTGGTAACGTCTTTCAGTGAACCACTTTAACATCTCGCCATTCCATCTTTGTCTTATCTTGTTTGTTGTTATTGACAATATTTAATATTTTTCCTTTACAGATTTAAATACAAAAAAGACAATTCACTCAAAAATGCTTTCACGACAGCTCAAAACATTTGTAGAAATACCAAACCCAACACAGCAGCCTGAGTTATTTGAAAACAATAAGCCACGTATAAAACAAAAAGAAATTCCACTTATATACGCCATTACTCCAACTTACTATAGATTAACACAAATGGCGGACCTAACAAGAATGGCAAACACTTTACGGCAAGTCAGACGGCTCCACTGGATAGTTGTTGAGGATTGGACATCTACTAACCATCATATCCACGAATTTTTACTCTTCACGAATATGTCCTTTACGTATATATCTCAAGCAACAAGGGCATCAACAAATGCTTCAAAAGGAAATGATCAGAAAAATGCCGCCATCCAATGGATAACCCGAAATCACCACTGGGGAGAACAGGCTGTTGTTTATTTTGCGGATGATGACAATGCTTACGATCTACGTTTATTTGAAGAGGTTTGTAATGTAAAGTCACCATTAAGGAACACTAAATGAAAGATTATCAGATCTTTCCGCTGTTATTGCACTTCGAAGGTTCGTCACTAGAGAATCAGTATCATCCCACAATTTTACGATGAAATAACAAAAAAAAAAAATCCAAGTCCCTTTTTTATTTTATGTAAAGGAGGAGTTATACTAAGTCAAGTTTCTGCATAATGTCAGATATGTCAGAGTTGCAGCTGCTAGTCATAATGTGAAGCTTTTAATGTTTTTGCGAGGGAGCTCTCAGAGACCAGGTTGAAAAGGTTTCATATTGTGTCGAGAAACTGATATTTTATAAGGAAAATCTGATAACAAACTATTTGTGTGGGTTTCAAGATAGAAACAACGTGGACACACTTGTGTGTTACAAGAGGTTCACAATTATATACAAAATATATTTGCATGACAGGCATTTCGGTGGTTGGTTGCAATGCAGAGTTTCTGCCTTTATCAAATACACGTTCTTTTTTTCCTTATTCAGTCCGAACTTCCCACCCTTCATCCCGTTCGACCGACTTTGCAGAGCCTGCTAATTTGATTTATTGTTTATCTTAATTTTTTCCTGTCCCGAATAAACATGAAATATTTGACACGTGATGTTTAGCATACAGCAACCCATCAATATTTAATATATATATATAAATACTTAAAAGGACTTAATTGATACAATGTCGGTTTGTCCACAAAAAAAAAGGATGACAAAATAAATTTAATTATAACAGTGAAGTTTTAGTTGGTTTAACCTATCAACACGTGTTTTTGCATTGAGATTCTTTAATGTGTAAAAAAGTGAGGAACTAATATATAAAACCCCTTATCTAATGTAAGTTTATGTAAGGTTGTATTGGGTCAGTTTGGGTCAATAATTGATATATTGCACTATTGCACAGCAGTCTTAGTATGAAAGAGGGTCTGATGGGGTTTACAGAAAAGAGGATAATGGACCAATACTACAGAAAAATGGACCAAAAAATAAAGAATTATACATAAACATGAAAAAAATAATAAAGAAAACAGAAATGAAGGACCCCATCCAGACCCTCATGAAACAACACCCCACATATTGTTGTAAAATATACACTTATAGTTTAATGTATTTATATTTAAACGGATTTGAGTTAGTGTCTCTAGGCTAAACTTTGTAAAATAGTGATAATTGCTTTTTTGAAGTTGCCGATTGTGGAAGAACTATTTCATTCGCCCATTTTAGGATTAAGTCCTTAAATATTGGAATCAATAATCGATTGAAATTTTTGAAATAACCAATTATTTGAAATAAACAATGATATAATCAAGAAAAGAAGTAATCTGTATAAATAAGCACTTTCCGACTTTTTAAAAAAAATATCCAACACGTTACTTTGTTTACGGTTATATATACGTCAATGAAGCCACGGGTCAGGAACAAACTAGAACAATTGAAAGACGGCTAGAGATCAGCATTTTTCTAACACAATACTAAATGTTTTTTTTCCACAATGTCAATTAAACAAAATTTAATGTCTAGAAAAGTTGAGTCTGGGAAAACATGGATTTCAATTGGTTGGTAGTTTTGCTTTAAACTAGCTTTCAGTAATTATCATAGAATAGAGAATGGAAACGAGGAATGTGTCAAAAAGACAACAACTCGACAAAAGAGCGGAAAACAGCCAAGGCCACCATTGGGTCTTCAACGCAACGAGAAAATCTCACACCCGGAGGCGGGCTTCAGCTGGACCCTAAACAATAATGTATTATACTTGTTTAGCGAAATGGACGCCATACTAAGCTCCAAAAACATAAAAATGAACCAAAAAAAATTCTCATAAAGGCTAGAGGTAGAGGTTCCTGACGTGAGACAAGCGCAATGATGCTGGTACTTTTAGATAGGTATCTTGTGTCCGTGGTCTTTTTTTTAGTTATGGTTATGCTTAGTAACGGTCTGATGAGTCGAGCACTTTTCAACAAATTTTTACAGTTTGTTCTTATGTTGTGCTGTTACACCACGGTCCCGTATAATTGTTAAGGGAGAGGTTGAGCGCTCACAGGCATAATTATGTAACCCCACTACATTCCGTAGGTGCCTGTCCCATATCAGAAGCTTATAATTAAGTGGCTGTCATGGTTGCTGTTTGTCCTATTTGTTTTTTCGTTTTATTTGTTTTTAGCATAAAAGCTTATAATTAAGTGGCTGTCATGGTTGCTGTTTGTCCTATTTGTTTTTTCGTTTTATTTGTTTTTAGCATAAATCAGGCCGTTGCTTTTTATTTTGAACAGTTCCACGTTTTGTCATGCAGGTGCCTTTTATAGCTTATTGTACGGTATGGATTTTGCTCAGTGTTGAAAGCAGTACTGTGATAAATAGTTTTTCGGATGGGTGTCCGAGGGTCTGGTAGGGGTCCTTGTTTTTTTTTAATTTTTAAAATTTTAAGGACATATTTCTTTATCTTTAAAAATAACGCTTATTCTGTAAAATTCTCATGAAAATGATTTAATATTGCATTTTTCTGTGATAAGGTGATTTCTTTATTCTGCAAATCTTTCATTTCTGTAATTAGCATATTATATTACTTATTTTTTTTTAATTTTCCAGTTATTCTTTCGTTCTTTTGCACCCCATTATTCTCTATTCTTTATCTTTTTTGCTCATTTTTCTCCATTCATTATTTTTTGGGCCAATATTATTCTCTAATCTATTCTGTAAAGCCTATCCAGACCCGCTTATCTCATTGGCAAATATACAACATCCTTTTTTATACTAAGGAGACTGCTAAAGATCTGTCACTCACACTACAAGTCTTTTTTTCTCGACTGTGAAATTACCGAAAGCGACTTAATATCACCGAAATTTTACTTGCCACGAGCAATTTGACGGTTACCACAAGTGGACTAAGATCTGCCTACCCTTACGGAGCACCTGAGATCAACGGCGGTTTGTGATTTTTTGGTTGTGCAATCTAGTTTTCTGTGTAGTGTTTTGGTAGACTGTTGATTGACCATATTTCTTGTTTCCATGGTATTGTTCTTTGACTAACGATTCATGATTGTCTCCTTGGTATCATCTACCTATTTTTTTATTTTATGAAATTCTAAAATACTAAGAGAAAAAACATGAAGAGGCTCCTTACATTCTGTCGGGGTTAATCGAGCTTATTTGAGTACGCAACATCCCTTTTATCTCAAATGCTACTTAGAGGAACGTACACTATATATATATAAAATAAATAATAAACGAAACTGCAGATACTGAAAGTATGATATAAGTCTTAATCTGCTGATTTAGAAATCGTGCCTGTTTATACTGTAATCATTGATCCGCTGCTTTACTTCTGAGTGGATTTCATCCAGAAATACGTGTGAAAAGTCCAAGTATATGTAAGAGAATGATAATCCCTTTCTTCATGAATAAGTACGAGCGTTAGCGAGTACTTATCATGAAGTAAGGGATTATCATTCTCTTACAAACTTAGAATATTGTAAAGTGCTCAAGGCTCAAATGATCTATCAATTAGTTTCATTGTCAGTGCAATGTTTATAATTGATGCATGACTTCCTTTTTCGGCATGTCATTTATGGATTAGTTTTAGTGATGTGAGGACTTTCTTATCATTTGGGAAATATTTTTAAAAAAATGCGTTATAGATATTTGGTGACACAACAGTAGAAAGAAAAGGTAGGAATTGTATGTTTCCTGATTGTGAGTATGAATGTAAATCATGTAATATTTTAGTGAGGAATTATCCTTTTTTTATTTACAGTTTAAATCAATTAATACATTTGAGTTACAACTAAATTTTATTTCACAGCCAATAATTTGGTCCGGCTTTTTACATCAAATACTGTTTCATTATGTCAGGGAAATGTTCAAAAATAATGCCCTTAAAAGTTTTTAATATGTTCAAAACTAAATTCCTGTTTTTTTTATCGGAATACATGTATTGGAAATAACTATTCTCCCCAACCGCTGATCAAGTAATCAAAGTTTTGGAAAGCTAAAGATTTAGGTTATTTTTTATCTGAAAGATTTTTTTCCTTTTTTTTTTTGCATTGCTTTGGTATTGTTTAATTTTATAGTAATTTGAAGTTATTGATATTTTCATAATAACATTCACGGTACCAATTTTACTGCACCAGTGAACAACTTATTTTGAGATTTTTGTTTGTTTCACAATTCAACTTTTAGTCAGTTTCAATCACTCTGTGATAAATTCTTTCAATCTGATAAATGTGCTTCAGGGCAGTTGTAACTCATTTATAGAAACTCTTTGTTTTGAACTGTAAATAGACCCAAATAATAGGATAATCCCTTACTAAGAACATGATTTACATTCATTCTTCATAATTAAGAGGCATCCAATCCTACAATTTCATTGGTCGAGATTACTTTGCTATATTCTAATGTAAATAAATGTATAGAATTCCAATGCTGAATACAGACAATCTGATTAAAATTCAGATCTATCACAACTCGCGTGTCGTATCAGTAATAGTTATCCCATTCGGACTTGGTGTGTCAGTGTAAGATCAACCCGATGGCCGGAGGCCAGAGGGTGATCTTACACTGACACACCAAGTCCGAATGGGATAACTATTTTACATCCCAGTTGTTTTAGAGTACAGTTGGTGATGATTGTGTGGCGTAACTATTTTACATCCCAGTTGTTTTAGATTAGATAAAAACCCATTTACGCTTCATAAAATCTAGTTTAGAACGCCACACAATCATTATAATATACTTTATATATTACTATATAGTATATACCCTTTATGAGCCCCGAACACAATGTTTTAATATGTTGAGTTAACAGAGAGTTTATATCCACTCGTCCTGGTGTAGGGGTATGACTTGTGGGTCTATATGCTAAAGGTCTTGAGTTCGATTCCCAGCATAGATACTGGATTTTGTCTACACAAATTTTGATAGTAAGTCTTTTCCGTATAAATATTTCTAAGTTTTATTGTGGATTTGACATTCCCGCCAAAATGTTACAGAACAAAGGAAAGCGTGAGAACAAAGAAACTCAAGCTAGGGTGATCTGACAGGCCGGATTGGTAGAACAACGGAGCTGGGATGTAATATGAGGACAACGAAATCAGTAATCTAATTAGATTGGAATAGAGAATAAAGTTCGTTCAAGTCTAAAAGTCTACGTTGTACGATAAGATAGAAAGATTGTAAAGTACCGTTTTTTGTTTTCTTTTTGTAGATGCGATATACTCAAAAGCTTTCTATGTGGCCTGTGGGACTTAGAGGTGGGATGAAAGCAGAGACACCTATTGTCGAAGATGGAAAGGTAAAATACCTAAATCAAATATGCGTTCCATTCCGAAACCTTATCCTGATATCATTTAAGACTCCTAACTTGGGACAGACCCATACAGAATGTTGCAGGACTATACATGTTTGCGAGTGGTCAACCCTGTCCTAACCTGGGACAGTGGCGACATAGCCAGGGGCGGATTCAGGCGGGGGCTTGGCGGGCGTGCGCCCCCCTAAGTAAAATTTGCAAAGCATAGGATGTCCTCAGCTTAATAAAGAATATTTCGATAATTTTACCTCAAAAAAATTGCTTCGCTCGGCGTAAATTTATGTTTGCGGCCCCCTAACCTAAAATCCCTGATAGCACGACATAAGAAGAAACTGTAAAATTCAGTTAAAAAATGTTTGACTCATCAGATGGTAAAAAACACAAAAAACAAATAACAAAATGAAAACGTTTCGAAGGAATTCAAACAAGAAATTCATTTTAAAATGACGTCAAAATGTATGCTCACTTCACCTTAATTCAATTTTGTATTGTTACACACGGTAGTACTATGTAGAAGACTACACAAGTATGTTTTACACACAGGTGCGTGAGGACAGGACTCTGTGTTGAGCCCCCTATAGTCCCTCCCCTTCATTATCATAAATCCCAGATTTTCAAATATATATCAGTAATTTGTTCCATATGTATACTATAGTATAAGTAATCATGTTTATTCAGAGTAAAAATATGTCATATTGGTATACATATGGTACACATAACTGATATATATATATATATATATATATATATATATATATATATAATAGTTGTTAAATCGGGGATTTATGATAATGAAGGGGATGAACTATTTTGAGGCTCAAAACATTGTCCTGTTCTCGTTAACTGTATAATTCATTTTGTTTTAAACTATTTTGTTCAGGTGACAGGCTTCATTGGATGGGCAACAAAATACCGGATGTTTGCTATAGATATGGCAGGATTCGCTGTCAATGTCAGTGTTTTATGGGATTATCATCCAATGTTATTTGAAACTCAAATGCCAGCATACACATGTTGTACTGCAGAAACTAAGTTCTTGGAACAGTGTTGTACTATTGAAGATATAGAACCAATGGCAGATAACTGTACAAAGGTTTGATTTTTATTTTCTACCATTTACTATTTGTTTTAGAGTACAGTTGGTGATGATTGTGTGGCGTAACTATTTTACATCCCAGTTGTTTTAGATTAGATAAAAACCCATTTACGCTTCATAAAATCTAGTTTAGAACGCCACACAATCATTATAATATACTTTATATATTACTATATAGTATATACCCTTTATGAGCCCCGAACACAATGTTTTAATATGTTGAGTTAACAGAGAGTTTATATCCACTCGTCCTGGTGTAGGGGTATGACTTGTGGGTCTATATGCTAAAGGTCTTGAGTTCGATTCCCAGCATAGATACTGGATTTTGTCTACACAAATTTTGATAGTAAGTCTTTTCCGTATAAATATTTCTAAGTTTTATTGTGGATTTGACATTCCCGCCAAAATGTTACAGAACAAAGGAAAGCGTGAGAACAAAGAAACTCAAGCTAGGGTGATCTGACAGGCCGGATTGGTAGAACAACGGAGCTGGGATGTAATATGAGGACAACGAAATCAGTAATCTAATTAGATTGGAATAGAGAATAAAGTTCGTTCAAGTCTAAAAGTCTACGTTGTACGATAAGATAGAAAGATTGTAAAGTACCGTTTTTTGTTTTCTTTTTGTAGATGCGATATACTCAAAAGCTTTCTATGTGGCCTGTGGGACTTAGAGGTGGGATGAAAGCAGAGACACCTATTGTCGAAGATGGAAAGGTAAAATACCTAAATCAAATATGCGTTCCATTCCGAAACCTTATCCTGATATCATTTAAGACTCCTAACTTGGGACAGACCCATACAGAATGTTGCAGGACTATACATGTTTGCGAGTGGTCAACCCTGTCCTAACCTGGGACAGTGGCGACATAGCCAGGGGCGGATTCAGGCGGGGGCTTGGCGGGCGTGCGCCCCCCTAAGTAAAATTTGCAAAGCATAGGATGTCCTCAGCTTAATAAAGAATATTTCGATAATTTTACCTCAAAAAAATTGCTTCGCTCGGCGTAAATTTATGTTTGCGGCCCCCTAACCTAAAATCCCTGATAGCACGACATAAGAAGAAACTGTAAAATTCAGTTAAAAAATGTTTGACTCATCAGATGGTAAAAAACACAAAAAACAAATAACAAAATGAAAACGTTTCGAAGGAATTCAAACAAGAAATTCATTTTAAAATGACGTCAAAATGTATGCTCACTTCACCTTAATTCAATTTTGTATTGTTACACACGGTAGTACTATGTAGAAGACTACACAAGTATGTTTTACACACAGGTGCGTGAGGACAGGACTCTGTGTTGAGCCCCCTATAGTCCCTCCCCTTCATTATCATAAATCCCAGATTTTCAAATATATATCAGTAATTTGTTCCATATGTATACTATAGTATAAGTAATCATGTTTATTCAGAGTAAAAATATGTCATATTGGTATACATATGGTACACATAACTGATATATATATATATATATATATATATATATATATATATATAATAGTTGTTAAATCGGGGATTTATGATAATGAAGGGGATGAACTATTTTGAGGCTCAAAACATTGTCCTGTTCTCGTTAACTGTATAATTCATTTTGTTTTAAACTATTTTGTTCAGGTGACAGGCTTCATTGGATGGGCAACAAAATACCGGATGTTTGCTATAGATATGGCAGGATTCGCTGTCAATGTCAGTGTTTTATGGGATTATCATCCAATGTTATTTGAAACTCAAATGCCAGCATACACATGTTGTACTGCAGAAACTAAGTTCTTGGAACAGTGTTGTACTATTGAAGATATAGAACCAATGGCAGATAACTGTACAAAGGTTTGATTTTTATTTTCTACCATTTACTATTTCGTTTGCAGATTTTCAATTGAACAAATTTAAGATATGGATATCTCACAATTTATAAGAATTTGCCAGATATTATTGCGAGTATTGGAAACTGTAACTCGGTTATTATCAGAGCAAACATCATTAAATTATCATGCGGGTTCCAAAACACATGCTGCTTACATTTTATTAAAATTGGGCATAGTCGTTTCGCGCTGACGTCAAAGGAGGTGTCATTTCCAACTCTCAGAAATTGGTTCCAATTTCAATCAGGGGATCAAGAATCGCAATAAGAGGACAACATAAATCGAAGCATATCGGCAGCAGCAAGACAGACGCGCAAACAAATAAAAAGTCCAATCATACAACTTCGATATTTAAGGACAATAAAAACTTTCATTAAATATGTGGTCACATTCGAAGAATGAATATTCACACTTCTTCGAACGCCACACCAATGATATTGTCAATGTCGATGATGACAAGTCTGGGTTGTATTTAGTAAAACATCTTGGGTATAAAAAATGTAAGCAACATGTGTTTTGGAACCCGCATGATAAATTAATGATGTTTGCTCTGATATAAACCGAAAACAACACTATAATGTTCATGAAATGCGTCAGAAGTCCTTTTCTGGATTTACCTTCATCAGGAATGCTCAAAACCGAATAGTTGAAAGCCAAGGATGTTTAAGAACTGAAACAGTCGAAGAGCTTTATGGCCCAAAAAGGACCTACTATAATAGCGAAATCCATCCAAGGTCATCTTTGCATGATTGAGTTGAAACCTTAGTTTCTTAACAATTTCTTAATTTATGAATAGACACTTTAAGAAAGGTTTGTTAATCATGTCAGTACCGAAGTAATGACTACTGAGCTGATGATATCTTTGGGGGACTGATAGTTTACCAGCGGAGGAAAAGGGAAAATAAATCATTTGTGACACACTCACATCCGTTTCAAGCAGATCACGTTGCAGGAAATGTGCACATTGACAACCGTATCGTTTACAACATCTTTATATTATTAACATAGTAATGCTGCAATAGAGGTGGAAGGTACCAACTTGACATTCATCACTCAAAAGCCGAGGAGAAACTGAACAATTTATAGGAAAAAAACTTAAAAAACGAAAAGAAAAAAAAACTAAAGACTGATCAACATATACCAATAAAAAGTCGGTGTGCTCTCATGTTCTCTGGACGGGTTGACAGAACCTGCTCAACGTGTGACATAAATTTTATGTGAAATGTTTTATGTAAATCGAAGGTTAAAAAATCTGTATACATTTCCATCACACGTTTTCTACTTCAGGTTTACGTATGGCACACGAAGACTGGGAAGCCCAATTATGTAAAGGATGACTCAAGATTAGACCACATATATGTGTAATAAAATAAAGTGCAAATCGTGAAGTTGTGCATTTCTGTTGCAACGAGATCATGAGATGAAACAGGAAACAATAGTTACTAAGAAAAGATGGACCGACTCGAGTAGACCGATGAGTCTCAAACTTTACATAAAAATCCGTAAAAGATTTTTATTCGGTTTGCTAGTACATCAATGAATCGGCAAAGTGTACACATCAATGACGTGTAGAAAAATGTGTTTAATCTTACAATAAAGTCAAGTTAAAACTTTTAGAGATGTCCCTATGATACTATCAGGGACTAGTTGTGTTACTAATAAACAATATAAAACAGTCCTATGTTCTATGCTCTTGGGGAATAGTTTGAAAAACTTAAAGAAAAAAGACTGTTCCAACTCAGAAAAAGCAAATATTTATCCATGTTTAATAAAATAAAAATCTTGCATGCATAATACTTTTGAGGTTCATTGGGGACTAATAATGTTATAGCGTTTGTGAACTGGGTGTTTTGGTAAAAGAAACCAAACCATAAATGATCATAATGTACCCTGTACTGAATAGACTCTTAGATACCAATAGTAAAATAGCAGTTAGTGAACGACCATTTAATTTATTTGGGGTGGGGTAAGGGTATAGATGTATTTGTAGAAATGAATATAATAATGCTGGTCTTGTAAGAATTGAAATAAATATTCTTTTCCGAAGACAAAATAAAAATTTTGTCCCACAGAATACAGTATGCAAAATTAATGGAAAATAAATTTTGTTGTGCTAAGCCATTGGCAATTATCAGTGCAACACTTCTTGTAAAGAAACATATAAGAGGTAAAAATATACACCAGCGGAGACTATATATATATATATATGTTAATGAAAAAGTAAAATGACGTACGAATGAAACAATAATAGGCTAAAAGTGTACCAACAGTAACTGTTATATGGAACCATATAAGTAATGAAAATATGAAATATGAATGGATGATACTAAAAGTACTGGTGTAAGTAATAACAGCATATTAATTCTGTAGATTCCGAATTTTTTCTTCAAAAAAGGCAGAAAACGGATAGGGTTCACTGCGTTTGAAAATCAGTGATTTGGGATAAAAGAAATCTACATATCCATGAGTTGTTCCATAATTATGACTGAGAGTGCCTAGTATAAAGTCATACAGTATTCTTTGAAATAAGTGCACATTTTAAACCTACATGTTCAGTAGTTGTCGTTTGTTGATGTGGTTCATAAGTGTTTCTCGTTTCTCGTTTTTTATATAGATTAGACCGTTGGTTTTCCCGTTTGAATGGTTTTACACTAGTAATTTTTGGGGCCCTTTATAGCTGGCTGTGCAGTGTGAGCCAAGGTTCTGTGTTGAAGACCGTACTTTGACCTATAATGGTATACTTTTATAAATTGTGACTTTGATGGAGAGTTGTCTCATTGGCACTCATACCACATCTTCTTATATCTATTAAGATCTTAGGTATAAGGTTCAATTTAAGGTCAAGCGTTTAGCAGTTACACCAAAGCATTAGAGCTCTTACAGTTTATATGGAGATATATAGTATTTTTAAACCCCGCCACATTCTTTATGTGCCTGTCCCAAGTCAGGAGCCTGTAGTTCAGTGGTTGTCGTTGGTTCGTGTCTGTCATATTTGTTTTTTCGTTAATTGTTTTGTTATAAATTAGGCCGTGAGTGTTTTCAATTGAATTGTTTCACATTTTTTATATGGGGCCTTTTATAGCCGACTATACGGTATGGGTTTTTCTCCTTGTTGAAGGCCGTACGGTGGCCTATGATTGCTTACATCAACTTTATTTGAACTTTGGTGGATAGTTGTCCCATTGGCAATCATACCTCATCTCTTTATTTTTATATGCCTAATTAATCTAAGTTTATTAGGAATAGAAATAGAAACTTAAGATATCAAATGGTATTTAATGTTCATAGAAATATATCTTGGACACGATTCCATTTTCCTTTATGAGGTAAAGGTTTCACATGTAAAAGTTTGCATAAAACTTGGTAAACATCAACAGCTCTCATTGGACCAACTTTTTCATTCTTCTTTATATCTAAAAAAAAAAATGAAAAACTTTTAATAATTTTCTTGTATCATTTTTTACTTTACACTGTAAGTCTGATTACATAGCAATTTTTTTCTTTCTGGTCCTATTTTTTTTTATTATCTTCAAATAATATTGAATGAGATATAGTTAGGTCTATCTGAAATGTTAAAAAGGGGTCTTAGTCGAGTCTCACTCTGCATTATAGGTCCGTTTGCTCACTCTGTACGATAAACCCAGTTGGTCACTCTGTACAACAAACCCAGTTTCTCACCCTGCACGATAAATCCAGTTTCTCACTCTGCACGATAAATACAGTTTCTCACTCTGCACGAATCGATAAATCCAGTTTCTCACTCTGCACGAATCGAAAAATTCAGTTTATCACTCTGCACAATAAAAATCCAGTTTCTCACTTTGCAAGATAAATCCAGTTTCCCACTATGCACCACAGGCACTTGTTTCTATCCATGGAAAGGTCGACTATCCATATATAATACTTGTATTATATATGGATAGTCGACCTATCCATGGATAGAAACAAGTGCCTGTGCTATGCACGATGAGTCCGGTTTCTCACTCCTGGATAAGTTCGGTTTACCACTCCAGGATAAGTCCGAGTTCCCACTCTGCATGATGAGGAACCCTCGAAACAACCAGAACGATTGTGCCCTGTTGATGTAACACTTCTTACAATGAAATTTTCCCAGTTTACTCTTTCCTTCTGGGAGAAATACACTAGAAACTTTCGGACATATTTTCCCAAGGGTTAAATCCCCCCCCCTTTCTTGGTGCTGGACGGAAAAAATTGAGACAACCATATTGCCATATTCTAGACAAACACGAGATGGTATCTCAGCTTTTCACAGAATTAATCAGATCTTATCATACAAAGAGAATATCTCATGTTTAAAAATTTTAAATTAACATTTAGGACACACTAATTATCTATGTCCATGACCGCCTTGGTGGTCTCATGTTAGCGTGTTCGCTTTGAGTGCAACAGGTCGTTGGTTCGAACCCAAGCTTGGTCAAACACAAAACTTGGTATTGGCTGCTTCTACGCTAAGCATGAGACATTTAGGAGTAAGAGCAAAGACTGGTTGGCTCGAAGTTGTGTCATGGTAAGGTGAAATCATTGTAGTGGCGGATCCAGCCATTTATTAAATGGGGGTTACTAACCCAGGATAAAAGGGGGGGTCCAACTATATGTCCCCATTCAAATGCATTGATCGTCAAAAAAAGGGGGGTTCCAACCCCCGGACCCCCCCTTTGGATCCGCCACTGAAATGTCTTCTCGTGGACTGTTACCTTGTAAACTAAAGCACATTAAAAATCCGACTCAGCGTGCGTGTCCGGTTCAGTACAAATCAGGATTTATATTCATATCACATTTATCAGGTTACAGGGAAAACGGTACTATTTATTCTGCCATAGGTGACAATACTAACATTTTCTAAATTTACCAATTTTTATAATAAAAACCTGGACAAAACAGTTATGTGTGGTGTTAGTACTTTATTATTTTGTTTTAAAAATTGAAGCCAAATAGTATCATGACCAACTTCCAACGGAGCTTGTTTATGTTATCCATGCCCACCGTCATTTGATTTTACACCAAATTTATGAAATTTTGGAAGTCTTTTCGAATAAATCTCTAGAAAATATTTCAATGGGTTTCAAAATTTATATTGTAAATATACACACTGCAGTTATTCATAGATAAATAAAAAAATATATTGTACCCTTACATCCAATCACAGCGTTCCTATGTTTACTTCCTTCACCTGCCTTGGGTATACACAAAAGGCCAACCTAATGCTGGGAAAATGTAATAGTACTATTTTCCCTACAAGTTACCATCGTGTAATGTCAACTTCACATCATGTAGTACTTTAAACTCAACGTATCGTGAAAGTGGCATACCAGCATACATCATGACTTATCATTATACTATCACAACTAAAGCTCTTGCAATTGCAAGTCAACATAACACATATGCAACTTAGCATATTGTAATTTAAAGCGTTTTGTCTTTGAATTCATCGTCACATTGTCTTAACTTTACATTAAAAACTTCAGCATAACGTTTTGTAAATACCTAATACATGACAGTTGAGGCTTTCCACAGTTACCAAACAATTACTTTCCGATAGAAGGGACTAAAATAAATGAAAAAAATAAAATTAGATAAGTGATTTTACCAATGCTTCTTCGGTTGTTGACCTTGACATCGAGTAGTTAATTAGAGACAACAGTACTTTACCGATGTTCTAATTAAGAAGAAGATAAAAATAAAGACAAAAAAGCAAAACAAAAAAAAAAGGAAACTGAGGGAATCGCATGAACTCCTATAGGAGCGAGACCGGTTGCGTAGGTAAGCGTCTCCTGTTATACATGCATCATCCACCATGCGCAAATTGCGCCTTCTAGAATTGCGCTTTACCTAATTCATTAAACTGTTCACTCACCTGGTCCTGTTGCTAGGAAGATCCCGCGCATATCTTTTTCAACATTATCAAACCCATGCCATCCTCTACTTGTCACCGATGGATACTCTGGCTGCAAATATGAATTATTTCTATACAATTTGAGTTGAAAAATAATTGACCTACACCTTATCGCTATTTAAGCTTCTACGAAATCTGATCTATTGATGTCATTTAATTGTGGTGTTAATGTATGTTAACTTATAATGTCGAAACTTTACATAAAAAAGGCACCAACCATTTTCAGTTTGATTATTGATCGTTGCTTGCTGGACGCCCAATGCCAAGTATTTCATGTACCCGGTATATGCCTGACGAGATCAAATAAAACAATCTATACAAATTGTCGGTTGTGAAACGTAAGTCGACCGGGATGTAGGGCGGAGAGTTTTTGACTGCGACTGGAAAATTATGGTATATATTGAAAAGCGACAGAGAAATTTTGCCTTGCAATAAGCCGCCAACAAACCCATCAAAGAGTTATTTCAATGAGTTTTTAGCGGCCAGAGAGAGTGACACTACACGAGGCATCAGATTTAACGTCCCCAATCTGGCCGGACGTGTCTACGAATCTATACATCCCGTAAAGTCGAACGGACATTCCTCTCAAGATTTTAAAGGAATTGAGATTTTCTGTTGTGAATTACGCACAAAACACTAGCAGCCTGCGCATAAAAGATGCATCGTTCAGCCAAAAAATATATTTGTCAGTTCAATGTGATT